AACACATTTGAAATTAGCCGTGCGAACCGTACACTGGTGCCCTGCATCCCGAAGCCTACATAACCTTTGGTCTAGCGAACGACACGAGCACGCACAAAAAACGAGCAATGGAGGAGGAGGAGGAGGAGGAGGAGGAGGAGAGAGGAGGAGGAGGAGGAGGAGGAGGCGGAGGGAGGAGGAGGAGGAGGAGGAGATGGAGGAGGAGAGGAGGAGGAAGGAGGATGAGGAGGAGGAGGAGGAGGAGGAAGAGGAGGAGGAGCAAGGCGGAGAGGAGAAGCAGGGGGAGATGGATGAGGAGATGGGGGAGGAGGAGGAGAATGAGGAGGAGGAGGCGAGGGAGGAGAGAGGACGAGGAGGAGGAGGAGGATGAGGCGGAGGCGAGGGAGGAGGAGGAGGAGGAGGAGAGGAGGAGACGAGGGAAGGAGGAGGCGGAGGAGGAGGAGGAGGAGGAGGAGGAGCCGTGAGGAGGAGGAGCAGAGGGGGGAGGAAGGAGGAGGAGGAGGAGGGGGGAAAAGGAGGAGGAGGAGGAGGAGGAGAGAGGAGGAGGAGGAGGAGGAGGAGAGGGAGAGAGGCGAGAGGAGAGAGGAGAGAGGAGGAGGGAGGAGGAGGAAGGAGTGAGGAGGAGGAGGAGGAGGAGGAGGAGGAGGAGGACACGCTTTCTCCCACTGCGGCGCGGCAGAGGCAGCCCGCTCGCGCAAGGAGCAGCACTGGGCCACGAAGTCGCGAAAAATGGCCCGCACTCAAGAGTGGAAGCAATGGGGGCGAGAGAGAGAGCGGCCGCAGAGAGGTGGGGGGTCACGTTCATACCGTCGAGCATCTGATGCAGAAGCCTCCTGCCGAGAAGCCTCTTGGGCACGTTCGCCTCTCCCGCGTGAGTTTGGAAAGTAGTCCAGTCCCAGGCTGGTTTGTGGAAACCTCCAGGAAGTTGACCAAGGTTTCTTGAATGATGGTTTTCTTGATCACAGTTTCCGCTGCAAACGCAAAACCTATGACGTCCGCGCAGATTTCTCGGATCGGCGCTGGAGCCCTCCGGCGTCGCCCCATGGCGCGCTCCGCGCGCCAGGGAGGGGGGTCCAGCGCCGATCTGAGAACTCTGAGCGGACCTCCGAGTTTTCATGTTTGTGCCATTGTTTGCTCCCCTCGCTCAGTCGTGGGCGAAAAACACGTCCGCATCCACGTGGCTGCGGGCCGGGCCCCTGGGCCTCGACCCCGCGGCTACGGGGCGTGTTCTGCCGGGATGCCTCTCGCGGGACGTGTCCGTACGGCCGCGTATTTGCGGGATCACGCCCTGGAATCCAGATCACGAGGGCGCGGATACGGATATTTCCGCCGCTCGTGGGTCAGGGCCTTGGGAAGAAAACGTGGCGCAAACATAATCTTTCGGAGTTCGGTCGTACTTCTCGGAACGGCGCTGGCCACTCCCGGCGGCGCCTCCGGCGCCGCCCGTGCCGCGCTCCGTGTTTGACAGCCGAGGCACCATCATGTCCTGTTTGATATACGTGATAAGACCGTATGCGGGAGGCATCGGGCCACGCTCGGGCAAAGTCGGGGGAGAGGGGAGGGCGGCATCCACCCTGAGAACCGAAGGCGCCTGCGGCGAATCCCCGCCGCCCCCTGCCTCGTCGGAAGCGCCTGTGTGGCCGACCGTTGCAGCCAGAGCTCGGCCCCAAGCTATCAGACCACGTGTTCCCCGGGCCGCTGTGGAAACCCTCTGGGGAGCACGTGGGGGTGAAGAAAGAAGAGGAGGGGGAGGGACGAAAAAGAAGGAGGCGGAGGAGACCTCTTGGTGAAAAAGAGTGAGGGGCGACCTGGGCCCTTGGGGGGCTTCCTGGCGGCCTCTTCGGCCGTCTGAGGGCGTCCCTGGCTCGTCTGACGCCGTCGGAAGCCGTCCTGGGGGCCTCTCTGAGCCAATTAGAGGCCCTCTTGGAGGCCTCTTGCGCGATCTCGAGGCGATTTCGGGGGCCTCCTGGGCCATTTCGAGCCATAGGAAAGCCAAAACGACGTAAAGAAAACTTTCAACACACTTAAACAAATTAGTGATTTGGGCCTCGGGCATTCCCGAGGACCTCTTGGGAGACTCCTAGGCCGTATGAGAGTCTTGTTGGGAGCCTCTTGGGCCGTCTTGGGCCGTCTGAGGCCATCTCGGGCCGTGTTGGGTTGGCCGTCTTGGAGACATATTGCGTCCATCTGGGGCTCTCTTGGGGCGCTTACGTCTCGGTTGCCATCTTGGCCATGTTGGAGTTGGAGGCCTTTTGGACCTTCTTGGGGCCGTCTTGGGGGGCTCTTGGGCCGTCGCGTGGCCATCTTGGAGGCCTCTTGGGCGATCTTGTTGCGATGTCGGGGGCCGTCTTGGGAGCCTCTCTCGCCGCTGGGAGGTCGTTTTGAAGCAAATGCCAAAATCCTTCAAACACCTACAGGGGATCCATGATGTTGGCTTATTCGGGCCTTCCCAGAGGACTTGGGGGTCCCTTGGGCCGTCTTAGGAGCCTCTTGGGCGCTTTTTGGGCCGTCTTTGGCTGTCTTGGACAAGATTGGGACCGTCTTGGAGGCCATCTTGGGGCTATCATTGGATCTCTTGGGGCCATCTTGGCCGTCTTGGAGGCATCTGAGAAGCCATCTTGGGCATATTGGCCGTCTTGGGGACCATCATGGCCGTCGTGGATAAATGTTTGGAGGATCTACGGGCGTTTCGGGTGGGAGTTGGGCCGAGACCTCACTGGGAGTTGAACACAACCAAGAACCACCCAGACTTCCAGTACGCCAGGCACTCATGTGATAAATCAACAGGGGGCGGCGGATCGAAGACGCCTACGGCGAATCATCGCCGCCCCCTGCTTTTCAGGATACGCCTATGTTGTCAAACGTTTGGGCAAATATTGACCACGGTATTGGACCATGCGTTCCCCCAGCCGTTGCGAAAGTCCTTCGGGGAACACGTGGAGGAGGAAGAGGTGATGAGGATAAGGAAGAAAAAGAAGGAAGAGGAGACCTCTTGGGAGCCTCTTGGGTCGTTCTTGGGGCCCCCTGGGAGTTTCCTGGGGGCCTTTTGGAGGAATTTGGGGAGGTACTTGGGCCTCTTGGGGGGCTTCTTGGGGACCTCCTTGGCGTCTTCTGGCGTTCCTGGCACGTCTGACGCAGCGGGAAGCCATCTTGGGAGCCCCTCTAGGCCGATTTGGGGCCCTCTTGGGGCGATTCAGGATCATCTTGAAAGCCATCTCGGGCGTCTTGTAGACCTCTTGGTCCGTCATTCTGGAGCGGCTACCAACATCTGCGCCCATCCCGCCACGCTTCGGCTACGGGGGCTGTCGAAGCCGCCGCTGGGCTCCCTCACTCGGCCTTGCTCGCCCTCGCGGTCCGGGTCCACAGTGCCGCCCTCAGGCTTCGCCTGGCTGACCACCCTGCCGGCCTTTTCCCGGCCGGTGTCTGGCCGGTCCTTGGCCCTTGCTCGGATCATCGTGCGGCCGCGGCCGTTGGCCGGGCCGCTTGGTTATCGCGCGTCCTGGGTGTTCTCGACGGTTTTGCTGGCCTCGGGCAGGACGTTCTCCGCGTTTGTGCCCACACGGGTGTTTTCCACCGAGAGGGCTTGTGCCAGGCGGTGCAAAGACGAAGAAGAAGGTATGGGCGATGCTGGCGTTGAGAATCAGAGTGGTCCTGTCTGTATTCGGTGGGCCTCTTCTTTGGCCCCCAAGCAGCGGTGGAACCTTGGATCTGGCGTTGCGACGGCACGTGAAACCCGAACCGCGTGTGGTCCCAAACTGGCTGCACCTGGCATGCTGCCCGAAATTCGCCCCGGACCGCCGTGGCCTCGAGAGGGAGCTCCGATGCCCCCACCCTGACCCCCTCGAGTCAAGAACGAATCACGACGGAAGGTTTCGCTGCTTTGGGCCTCCAGGGGCCTTCGTGGGGCCCCGGGATCGTAGAAGAACGATCCAGGATGAGAAACCGGTCCGGGCACATGGGTCGAGACTTTTGGGGGCGACGTCATGAAAAATCATGACGTCGGGGGCTTTCGCACGCTGGTGGACGACGGTGCCACGAGTCACTTCCAAGACGGGTTGGATTCCGCGCGCTGCAGGCCCCCACCGGACACCCACTGGCCCGAGCCCGCCTGCAGGTGGCGGCCTGCTGGCTGGCTTTGGCCATCGTCGAAACGGACGTCAAGAAAGCGTGCGCGGAGGCGGGGGCACCCCGGCCTCCCCAGCAGGGCATCCCCGGCCGCCCCCCCGAGGACGGCACCGGCGCTGCGGCTGGATTGGTGGCGGCAGGAGGTTGGGGCGGCGGCGGCGGCCTGCCAGATCATCCCCCCCCCCCTCCCCCCCGCTTCCTGGGTGCGCGCCAGGTGTTCCCGGGCCTGGCCCCCCGTAGGGGCGCGGCCCCATTACTCTTGAAGGCCAGCGGCCATCCGCCGCCGGCTTCCTGCGCCGCCCGTGGCGGGCACTTCGGCTGTCCACGGCGGCTGCTTGCGCTGCAAATTAGGGGCTACGTGCCAGTGGCACGCCGACAGAGGCAAGGACGGGTTTTTCGCCCAGCACACCCGCCTCTTCGGCAGCTGCTTCCTGTGGACACTCCAAGTCGTGCCTCATGGCACGGTGGAGAGAGGCAGGAAGAAGGTGGGAAGGCAGAAAATTGGAGGGGTTGAGAAGACCAGGGGTGGAGGAAACCGCGAGGAGTGAGGAAGGCCCTCCTCCCGCACGTCTGCTCTTTCTCGTGCGTATCCTCCACCTCTCCCTCCTCCTCGTCCTCTTCCTCCTCCTTCTCCACCATCCCCCTCGCGCCCATCTCCCCGTCATCATCTCATCGTATTCTGCGATTCGGATTGGATCCAACTCTGGTGGAATCCTACGCGTGAGCCCGATCCAATTTTGATGGTGGAATTATATATTACGGACTGGATCCAAATATAATGGGATCGTACCAGGGTTTGATGCAAGTCCCTCTCCGCTCGAGGAGGCGGAAGGGGGGGGGGGGGGGGGGGACGAGCCTTGGCCTGGGGGCAGCGGCAGGACACCTTCAAATACAATGACGATTACATGTTCAACGAGCACATCGTGCCGTTCTTCCACACCGCGCAGGCGCCAGCCCCGTCCGAACCTGACGCCTCGCCATCCTGCGTTTCGTTTTGGCTTACATGCTGGCTACCGGGGCCGCCCCCATCCTGCCCGGATGCTGCGTTGCTTCCCCAGTGGGCAAGCGCAGTCGATGGCGCCAGGCCCCCTCCTACCGTGGGGGCGTTGGTTGGGGAGCGTCCCCAGCAGGCTTCATGCCTGTGAGGTTTTTTATCCGAGAAGGGCGGCGGTTATATCCATGGCCAAGCTTCAGTTGGTATCCCACCAGCTTTCGCACCGTGTCTTTTTTATTCAAGGGGCCCGTATCCAATGCCCTCACCGTGCCCGCTGCCCTGCTTACCCTGCAGATCTCACGGGGCCTGGCGCGGCTGTCTGCCCCTGCTGCCCTCTGCCCCGTTTGCGTTCCCGCCCACAGCGCGGGCAAGCGGGCGCAGTCGATGGCGCCAGGCTCCCCCCCCCTGCTGGTTGCCCTGCCCGTCTGGCAGATCGCCCGAGGCCCCGTGTGGTGGGCCGTCCTTGCCGTCTTCTGCCCGGGCTGCGCCCCGCCTGCGCGTATGATGGGGCGCAGTTGGTGGCGCCGGGCCCCCTCCTGCTCGCTGGGCTGGCCCTCCTGCCGGTCGCTCGGGGCCCACTGCGGGATGCCTATGCTGCCCTCCCTCTACCTACGTTGCGTATCCCCGCTTCCTGTGGAGTAAGCGGGCACAGTCGGCTCCCATTCCTGCAGATCGTGTGCGTCCCGATGCAGCGGGCCACGTGCTCTTGCCGCCCTCTGCTGGGATTTGTGTTCCCTCCATCTCGGGTACATTGTCTGCTCCAACCAGGGTCTTAACTATGGCGTATCTCGCTTCCTGCGGAAGCCGGCAGGACAAAGCGGCAGAAGCGAGGTGACGGCGGCGGAAGCGAGAGGGAGACGTCAACATGTTTGGTGTCAGGATTTCCAGGGTCGCCCAAGCGGGCACAAGCGAGGTTGTTGCGCAGACGCGCATGTTATCTGCACGGGCGGTCTGGTTTGCGCCTCGCGGCGTCGCTTCCTCTTTGGGCGAGCAGGCTCCTAGGCGGGCCTCAATTAGATCCCCCTGTTCTCCTTCCTTATTCTCACCAGCCCCTCCCTCCCTCCCATCCTCATCGTCAATTTTCATTCCCGTCCTCTTCCTCGTCGTCCATCGCCGCCGCGGGCGCCATCCACCGATGCCCGCCCCCCCCCGCCACCATTGACCCGAAGTGAGCTGCAGGTCGGGGAGTTCACCACTGGCTACGACTTCGCCCACAAGGGCGTCAGGTTCAGTGTCATGGGGGTGCTCCCCGAGGACTGGTGCAGCATGGGCGTGGGCCAGAGACTTTCTGGCCGGGCCCCACCACATTCGGGGTGTGGGTGCCGACGCTTGTCGAGGGAAAACGCACGAGGACCATGACCACGCCGGTCTTGGCTGTGGTCCATGCTGGCCGTCGCCGGTTTGCGAGGATGGTCCATCCATTGACGGTTCCCCTGATGACGATGACCAAGATTTTGTTAGGCCACGCGCTCATTCGCCGTGCTGTGATACCTTCAGCGTTCTCCGACACCAGTGGTACGTCGCAGTGCCGATCGGTTCACGCGCGCCTGTCAGGAGATGCTGCTCGTCTTACTCTCCGACGTCGACACTCGTCAAAAAAAAGATTACGATGATCAAGATCGACGACGACGCTTCTGCGCTCAGTCGAGGCCTTGGCCGCCGCTTTTGTCTCCCTCCATGTTCTTGTTGGGGGAGGCGCGCCGAGTTCCGCCGCAGCCAGGCCGCCCGTGGGGCGCGGGCTCTCGTGTTTTTTCCCCCCGCCGCTGCCCCTCCGGACGCCGGCGGCGGCGAGGGTTTCTGCTTCAGGGGCAGCGATAGAGGAGGAGGAGGAGGACGAGGAGGAGGAGGAGGAGGAAGAGGAGGAGGGGGAGGAGGAGGAGGAGGAGGAGGAGGAGGAAGAGGAGGAAGAGGAGGAGGAGGAGGAGGAGGAGGAGGAGGATAGGCACAGGGGGGGATGCATCGACCCCCAATCGCCCATTGATCGCCGATAGGGGCCCGATAGCCCCAAGCTGCCCAGGAAGGTGCGGGTTCACGATCGGAGGCCTATCGTCGATCTATCGGCGATGTATCGCCGATTCCAGGTCGATGCATCCCCCCCTATGCCAGTCCGCCCCTATCGTTGCCCCTCACTGCTCCCCGCGCGCACATGCCTCATTCTAAGCGCTTCGCGCATGCCCAGCGGCTCGTCTAGAAGCAATACGCAGGCGAGCTGTTGGCAGGGGGAATTCAGAGAGGCATGCAGTAAAGCTTGGGGGGTTACCAGTGGGGGCCCGCTGGGGCTCCGTGGGGCCTCTTCTGGGAGCCTGGGATGCCCTCTTGGGGTCGTTTTTGGGCCCTCCTGGAGGCCTTGGGGGCCTCTTGGGGCCGTCTTGGGCCTCTCGTGGGGCTCTGTTGGGCGATTTCGGAGTCATTCTTACGTAATCGTCCTAATGTAGGGCGGCCCTGAGACATCCGAAGCCTTGCAGTCATGTTCAGCAAAGCACAGAAGGGCGGTACTCGAGCGGCCTTCTGAGAAGGCATGCCAGCAAAGAGCTCACTGAGGGCTTACGCACTGAATGCGAACCAATTGCTGATTGAAGGCGAACGTGCTTGCCGTCAGTCAGAAGTCCCCCTTCCAGGCAATCTGTGTTTCTGATGAGGGTGCTCACTTGAAGCCATCCCAGCTTCTAGGGCTTCCCAGAAGCATCTGGTTCCTGTTAAGAAGCTTCGTTATCATTATTCGTCCTTTCTACGTGTCATGATTCTCTGCGCCTTGGTACCATCCCTCCGCACATCCTAATCCACCTCGTCCTTTGCCCATCTAATGTCCGTCATCAGAGTGAGGGCCCGAACTGTTATTCATTGTCCATGGGAGCGTGTTTGAAGTTGTTTCCGCGGTGAAGATCGTTGTTTCGTTATTGTTGTTGCTGCTGCTGTTTTCTTGACTTATACCATGTCTGAGTAATAACTATCGTTGACCCCCCTCTCCCGTAGACATTGCATTTTTCAATGAAAGTGCTTCCCCCGGGACTCGCACCCTGTTGCTTCCAAGTGAAGGTGAGGTGTCACCAAATTGTGCCCTTGGCCCCCGGTTTACAACAACAACAATAGCAACGGCTCCCGCATGATAGTTCCTCACAATGGATTTTCAAATCGCGCTCTCGCGCGGGACTCCCTCACAATGTATGCAGGAGTCGCGCTCTCGCGTGGCCTCACGATCTATTCGGGGATCGCGCTATCTCTCAAGACGTCCTCACGATTCATGCGGGACGCACGCTTCAGCGACCCGCCTGCTCGACCTGGCCGCCTGGGCCCGCCTTCCCAACCCGCCTGTTAGGGTCTACCCGCCCGATCTGCCTGTTTGGTTATGCCACGTGTTTTCTGTTCCTAGCTCCCCCCCTGCTACTCTCTCTCGTGCTCCATCCTTCTCTCTTCGCATTGTTCCTTCCGTCCGTCCTCTCTTCCCCTGCCTTAGGGGCTGCACGGAAGATATACCCTTGAGGGTGTACGGTCGAAGACGCAGAGGGCGGAAATCGAGGGTCTGGGACACGCATGTAAAATGGCCCGCGAGCAGATCCGAGCCAAGGGTTTTAAATTGATTGTTGTTGTTGGTGGTGTTGTTGGTGTTGGCGTTGCTGTCGGTGATGGTTGTCGGTGTTGCTGTGTCTTGTTAGTTTCAGTGGTAGTGCTGCTGTTGGTGTTGTTGGCGCTGTCGTTGTTGTTTCCGCTGCTGCTGATCATGCTGTGGTTGGTGGTTGTGTTGTTGCTGTTGTTGCTGGTCTTGTTGTTATGGTCGTTGGTGGTGTTGTTGGTGTTGGTGGTGGTGGTGGTGGTGCTGTTAGTATTGTTGTTGTGGTTGTTGCTGTTGTAGTTGTTGTTGTTGGTGGTGGTGGTGGTGGTGATGTTGTTGTTGCTGTCGCTGTAGTTGTTGGTGTTGCTTTGTTGTTGCTTTGTTTTAGCCGCCGTCCTCGCCCGCGACCCACCCCGCGACCCACCGTGTGAACCACCCCGTGGTTCACCGACGACCCACCCGCGACCCACCCACATTTTTGACGAAAAGTCTAAACGCTTCGCAGGCGAGTTGCCCTCATCAGGGATGTGGAGAAGCATGCAGTGGACTGAAGGTCTGGGGAAGCCGTCACGTCCCAAGAGGGGGAGATTGGAGAAGGAATCGGAGGAGGAAGGGGAGGGGTAGAGGGGAGGAGGGAGGAGGAGGCACAGGCGGATGAGGAAGAGGAGGAGGAGGAGGAAGAAGAGGAGGAGGAGGAGGAGGACTCTTGGGGACCCCCTCTTGGGTCCCTCTGGGAGCCTTGGGGGCTATGTTGGGACCATCTTGGAGGAGTCCATGTTTAGGGTACCCCCCAAGGAGGCCTGAATGGGTTCAACATGTATGAAAAGTCAATAGTTTTCGCCTTCTCGCCGAGACCGTCTTGGGCGTTCCAACGCGCCCCCGCCCCCCCCCCTCCAGATCAAGGGGGAGAGGGTAGACGGAAGGGGTCAGGACACCCTCCTAGATAGCAAGCCGTCTAGCTCACTCCCACCCGCCCTCCCATGACATAGGTCACACCCGAGCCTCAGCACGTTCAGCGGTCGTCTTTGGCCGGGCAACGACTGGGAACCAAAACCGACCCCATGTGCGCGACGCTGGGGGCGAGGTTCGCCACGCGTGCCAGGCGCGCCACGCGCGCCAGGCACCCCTGGGGCCCGAGCGTGCAAGTCACGCCTGGTGCGCCACATGCGCCACGTTCTCCACGTGCGCCAGGTGTGCCGCATACTCCGGCCGCGCAAGGTGCGTCACGCTCGGGGCGCGTGCAGGGTTTTTCAGGTGCGCCTGCGCACGTGGCAGCACACATCGGGAGACGTGTCGGCCCCCACCATCCTTGTTGAAAACCAATACCCATCATTGTGTCTGGTGGGCCTGCGCACAGCAGGCCGTACTCCACCACCTCCGCCGTCTCTGTCAAAAACCATTTGACAGTGATCGCGGGGTGGCCGCGCATGATCCAGATTTAGCCGCGAGGTACATGTTGCATCGCTTTCTGACAGGATGGTGGCCCTGCGCACAGCAGGCAATATGCTGGCACCCCCGCTGCACTTGTCAAAACATCGATGCAGAGTGCTCGCGGGCCTCACGAACATGACTCAAGACTTTGCCCTAAAATGTACTTTCAATTGTGTTTTGACAGGGATGGTTGGGGGTTGCATCGGGTTGGTTGCGCATGCTCCGAATTTTGAGGCAGAGTGTGTTTCGTACTGTCTTTTGCCAGGGGTGGTGGGGATGTGTGATCATAGATAGGGTCGGAATTGCTCCTGGTTGGCTGCCGGTCGCCTGGGGGAGGGGGTGTATATTATAAGGGAATAGTGATAGCCGCTTCCCAAGAGGGGAAGAAGTGGGCTGGAGGAGGAAACCCGCCAAACCACTCACGCCCCAAATGGCTCGTGGGATTCGGCGCCTGTGGCGGTCTCGTTGCGCAACGTGTTAAAACGCCGGCGCCTGCGGCGGGCGTCTTCAGAGCCTCGGAGATTGCCGACGACCCCGCCGCCCCCGCACTCTGACCCGCAGCCGCGGGATGCTGCGCACGTGTTCCTCCTCTTCCTTCTCCTCCACGCCTCGTGGTGTTCCGCCCCGCGCCCAGGACTCCTACGGCGTCGTGGGCAGGATGACGGAAGTGTATTATGAGGGCCCAGCCATTCAGCGCAAGGTCGGTGTGGGCGGGAGCCAGAGAAGGGGAACAGGACGGGGGCGGGGTAGTAGCACGAGCGTCTGTTTGCTTTCGGGCCATCTCCCCACCGCGCCCGAAATTCATAGGTCCGAGGCCTCCGCAAAACTGCGCGCGTGTTGTTGTTGGGGGAAGAGCCATGTTGCAACACGACTGTTTGCTTGTATATGTTTCCGTGAACATCGATCTTGAAGTCCTTACGGAAGTTTTTGTGCTTGAGCGATCTCGGCATGCGCGCGCGACGCCGCGCGCATGTGGATTTGGTGTTGGTGATATCGCAAGGGTTTTTGGCAAAATGAGGGTTTGCAAGAAGAGGAGGGTGTGCGCGCATCTACGAGTCTACTAGGATGATGGGGGGAGGGTCGGTACTGGCCTGGCCCAGATGATACGAGAACATATTTAGAACGACAGCTGGGGCAAAGGCTCATGTACATTGCATTATCCCAAGCCGGACCAGTAAAACCAGGGGGTGGGGTAGATCCCAATGTCGTTTCAGAAAGAAAGCTTATATGAAGCAACTCGCCCTGCCGAACGTGAAGTTGTCAACTCCACTGTGTATACCCGCGGCGAGCAGCATCTGGGGAGGGGGTCGCACCCTGCGCTGCACGCGATTGCATATGGTTCGGCCGACCTCCAGGCCATTTTCTTCGTATCCAGAGTATCAGGGCCCTGTAATTAGCGACGCGGCCAGAACTCGTTTCAACCCTCCCATCCTCAGGTCCATTCGCATTCAGTCATTCAGTCAGATGTATTATTCATTATTTGGGGTCACGCCCGCCCGCTCAACTTGGACTCGCCCGTATTCAAATACGCTCATGTTCAGACTCCCCCACACAGGGATTCAGTCACACCCAGACACACTGATACCCAGGCCACCTGCGTGTTCGAGTGCACCCATGGCTAAGCCCACTCAAATTGAGACTCGGTGTTAAACAGGCCCACTCGTACCTAGACCCATTCATCATCAGACTCACTCACGCTCAGACGAACTCACAATGGTCCGAGCTCATACTGGTAACAATGAGGATGGGTGGTCTGAGTATGTTCTAGTCTCAGTGTGAGTGGGCCATAGAGTTTGTACTCGTAACAGACATCGCACGCGCGTGCGATTACGAGTCGTCTTCACAACCGCCCGACATTCTGGTTAACAGGCGCTCGGGCTCACTGATGCTCGGTCCCACCCTCATTTATCGTCGCTCGTGGTCAGATGCGCAGCGATGCAGCAGGCATTTCGCTTCGGCCTCCCCAAAGGGGCCTCCAGTGGGCATGACACGGGTCCGTTCGCGCCTAGGTTGCCGGGACTGTTCAGCCGAGACGCCGCGCCCGGTTGGGGAAGTGTGCGCGTCCCTTTTCGATGCCCGATGGCCGCCGCGATGTTGCAAGCACGGCGTTTGGGCATCCTCATGGGGGTCTAACAGGGGATCTGACATTGGCCTTGTCGCGCTCAGATTGCGGGCACCTCTCTGGCAGAGCTCCCGTTTTGGGACAAATTGACGCTTCTCTTCTTGCAGCGCCATGGCCACCGCGATGAGGCATTCACGCGGCTTTGGCCTCGGAAGGGGGGGGGCAGCAGGGCGTACGATACAGGTAGCCCGCTCGCGCTTCCGTAGCCTGTTTCTGGCTCAGAGCGCTGATGTTCAGGCGGTTATGCCGTGCGCCCAGCGTCTCGGGAAAAACGAACACTCACACATGCGATGACGACGTCCTGGGTGCTCCTCGGGGCGGCGATCGCAGCTTCAGCAGTGCAGCGCGCGACTTCCATATTGTCACTGCTCTCGAGAGCTCCTCCTGGGACCAGTTCTGAAGATGGGCGCACGCTGCGCGATGCACACGTGTCTGAAGTTGAAGGGGCCAGACGGTACGCTATTGCGTTGTACGGTGGCGTGACGGGTATGCACGCCAGGTTTGGCGAGCACATTCCCGGGGTGTCGACGGTGACAAGTCGTGAAGCGGAGAGGGGCAACAAGTCGACGGTGAACCTCTCGATTCCTGCGATTATGCTCAAAGAGAATTTGCTGGGCGGCCCTGCTGATGTGTTCATTCACTCATGGAATCCAAATTTCAGGAATACGCTCGAGCGTCTCTATCATCCTATAGCTGCGCAGTTCGAAAACAATGAAGATGACATGCCGGAAATTAAACGAATGACAGACAGCCTGCCCCATGGGGGGAGACATTCCCCTGGTCACATTCCCTTCCCCAGCTTGGGACACGTTTCCATGACCCGTTCAATTGCTAAGGTGTTAAAACTCGTTGTTGATTACCAGGAAGCTACAGGCCACGTCTACGATTCTGTCTATCTCTGCCGTCCTGATGTAATGCTGCTCGGGAAGGTCAACCTAAACCGTTCCGCCGTCCGGTATGTGTTCACGGGCGGCAAGCTTCGAGGTCGAGTGCCTCCTGTGAACATGGGCGAGGACGTGGTCTTCAATTCGTACGGTATGGGCGGCAATTCGGATTTCCATTATCTCATGAGCGGGCGCCACGTGAAAGCATTCTCGACCATCTACGACTCTCTTCCAACAGTGACGAAACCTATACTAGCCCACTCTGGATGGGTGAGAGAATTCCTTCAGCAGAATAAGCTGCGGCTAGTTTCCGCCGACACGGTGACAGATGGTGACGAAGAGGTGTACCGTAAAATGGATGGAACAATGTCGAGGCTAAGACCTGAGTGGAACTCATTTCTCGCGCCTCTCATGCCACCTCAGTGTCTTGACCAGCTATTTTCCCACAAGAAAGATATTAGTGACGATTGCCTCGTGGACATGTAGCTCGCAGAATCAATGCTGGTTCACCCTGGATGGGGACAAAGTTCCTGACGGCATTGCTGGAAGTATGGGGCGACGAGATGCACCGTCGTGTGTGGATTCCGTATGAGGCGGGGCCAGTTGTTGCACCTCGGTCCGAGGAATGTTTTCCTCCTCCTCCTCCTCCTCCTCCTCGTCCTCCATTTCCTCCTCTCCTCCTCGTTCTCCTCCTCCTCCTTCTCCTCCTCCTCCAGCCTCCTCCTTCTCTCTCCCCTCCTCCTCCTCCTCCTCCTCCTCCTTCTCCTCCTCCTCCTCCTCCTCCTCCTCCTCCTCATCATCATCATCATCATCATCATCATCATCATCATCATCATCCTCTTCCTCTTCCTCTTCCTCTTCCTCCTCCTCTTCCTCTTCCTCCGCCTCCTCTTCCTCTTCCTCTTCCTCCTCCTCCTCCTCCTCCTCCTCCCTCCACTTCCTCACCTCCTCTCCTCCCTCCTCCTCTCCTCCTCCTCCTCCTCCTCCTCGCTCCTCCTCCCCCTGGCCATCCCCCCTCCTCCTCCTCCGCCTCTCCTCCTCCTCCTCCTGCTCCTCCCTCCTCCTCCTCCTCCTCCCTCCTCCCCCGCCTCCTTTTCCTCCTCTCCTCTCCTCCTCCTCCTCCTCCTCCACCTCCTCCTCCCCCTGGCATCTCCTCCTCCTGCTCTTCCTCTCCCTCTCCTCCTCCCCCTGGCACCCTCCCCCTCTCCTCCTCCTCCTGCTCCTCCTCCTCCTCCTCCTCCTCCTCCTCCTCCTCTCCTTCTCTCCCCCTCCTCCTTCTCCTTCCTCCTCCTCCTCCTCCTCCTCCTCCTCCCCCTGGCATCTCTCCTCCTCCTGCTCCTCCTCCTCCTCCTCCTCTCCTCCTCCTCTCCTTCCTCCTTCCTGCTCCTCCTCCTCCTTCTCCTCCTCATCTTCCTCCTCCTCCTCCCTCCTCCTCCTCCTCCTCCTCCTCCTCCCTCCTCTCCTTCCCCTCCTCCCCCTCCAGCCTCCTCCTCCTCCAGCCTCCTCCCCTCCTCCAGCCTCCTCCTCCTCCTCCTCCTCCACCTCCTCCTCCTCCTCCTCCTCCTCGAGGGCCCCGCGAGGGTCCGGCGCCCAAGGAGGGCGAGGGCGCCTCCCGCGCGCCCCATGCTTTTCGCGCTCGGGGTGCGGGGGCCCCTTGGCACGTCTGCCCGCGCTCTGACAGCCGATAGAGAATTCACGCAAAAAAAACATCGTCTCGAAAAAAAATATCGTCTCGAAGCGTCGTTCTCGGCCTCCCGAGGCCCTCGCCGTGCCTCGGTCCGTCAAAGTACGACTCGGGACGAGACACCGGTCCCGGGGAGGTGGTCGGGAGGTCGGGGCCCGTGTGCCTAGGAAGTCGGGACGTCGGATGTCTGGGTTTTTCTCTTGGGCTTGCAGCGGAAGCCGATGCTAAGACGCACCCTGCTTGCCTCCAGGGTACCTGTGGTTTCTTGGGTTTCGGTGGTCTTGCTGTGACAGGCACGACGTGCCCACACCACAAGTCGAGGGGCGTCCCGGGGTCTCAGGGGTGGACTTCCCGTGCAAGGTTCCTTGTGGACTGGGCCCCTGCTGTAACACACAAACTTCTGGCGCGGGGCCAGCGCGGATCCACCAAGAGAGCCGCGCGGAGCTCCAGCAGTTCGTGTCTATGCAGTTGCTCCTCCATCCCACGACAAGGGCGCAGAAGGCGAGAGGCATCGAGCACAGTGTCACCGAGCCGCTTCGCGCCCCCGGCCCGCGGGGACGTCTCGGGAGGACGTGCACGCTTTGGACGGTGGGCGCCTCCCTCACAATCCTCCTCCTCCTCCTTTTCCTCCTCCACCTCCTCCTCCTCGTCCTCCTCCTCCTCCTCCTCCTCCTCCTCCTCCTCCTCTCCCCCCTCCTCCTCCTCCTCCTCCTCCTCCTCCTCCTCCTCCTCCTCCTCCTCCTCCTCCTCCTCCTCCTCCTCATCCCTCTCCCCCCCCTCTTCTCTCTCCCCAGGCCCGTGATCGCCGCGATGTGCCAAGCGCGGCGTTGGCCGCCCCCCCCCCCTCAACAGGGTGGGAGGGAGGCAGCCGCAGCGGGGGGGATGACACTGGCTCGTCTGCGCCCAGACTGCGGGGAACCCGTGGGCGCGATTCCCGCTGTCGGCCCCACGGTCACTGTGACGCACCAGGCGTGCCGCTTGGGCCGCCCAAAGGGGGCGCCGCCGGGGGGGTCTGGCACGGGCCCGTTCGCGCACAGGTTGCTGGGACACCTCTCAGGCGGAACACCCGCTTTTGGAGAGTAGAGGTGTCTCTTGTCACAGATCCTTGATCGATGTAGCAGGCATGGCAGTTTGACAACCCAAGGGGGAGGGGGTGGCGCCAGGGTATGACCCGAATCGGTTCGCTCCCTCTCACAAGCCCAAATCACCGCCATGTGGCAGGCGCTGCATTTGGGCCCCCCAGGGGGGAGCCGCATGGGGGCATCACACAGGCCCATGCGCGCCCAGTTCGCAGAGACGTCTCCGAAGCGAAGCACCCGTTCTGTGAAGTGGGCGCCTCTCGCCGCAGAGCCCCGCGACCACGGTGAAGAGGCATCCATGGCACGTGGGGCCTCCTCGCAAGAGGGCGCCGGGGGCGTGCCGCGGGCCTGGTCGAGCCCAGACTGCGGGACCCGGCGAAACGGCCGTTGCTTGAAAGTGGATGCGTATTTTCTCGCAGCACCCCCAGACATCGGGCGTCTCGAGAAAATCGAGACAGAGGTTTTTCATAGATTTTAGCCTCTCGGGGCCCTCGCCGGGCGTCGGGACCGTCAAAAAACGACTCGGGATGAAGAACGGGTCCCAGGGAAGTGAACGGGAGGTCGGGGGCCCGCGTCTCGAAAAAATCGAGACGTCGGATGTCTGGGCCATGGTCACCGTGATCTGGCCGGCATCGCATCTGGGCATGCATTTGGGCTGGCCGTTCGCGCCCAGGTGGCAGGGAGGTTGCCCGTTCGCGCCCAGGCGAAGCGCCCGTTTTGAGGAGCAGACGCGTCTATGCTTAGCGCCTCAATGTCACTGCGATGCAGCACGCATGGCACGCTGGCCTCGCAAGGGGGGCCGCCAAGGGGTGTGACACGGACCCGTACGCGCCCTGATTGCGGGGACCTCTGCGGACGTGTCTCGTTGGCTTCATCTGGGAGTGAAGTGTGCGACTTGGGATAAGCCCTCCTGAGGGGCAGCGGCTTTCTCGATCTGCCTCTTCCTCGTGGTCGTCTTGCTCTGGGCTTCAGGAGAGATCGTGGAGATCTCTGAGGCGAAACGTCCGAGGCGGCGATTCATCCATTACCGCCGCCTGTTGGATGGATCTTCGCGGACCTCCACAGGCGGCGGCAACGGATATGTGTATATATATATATATATATATATGTATGTGTATATATATATATATATATATACGTGTAGCTATACATGTATCTATATACACACATATATATATATATATATATATATATATATACAGGTGCTCTGGCCCCCGGCGGGCAAACTACATCCAGATCCACCGCCCGCTGGGGTACCAGGACGCCGGTTCCCGGGCGGTGGGCCTGCATACAAAATCCCCGCCTCGCGACGCGCCCGTTTTCGGAAGAGCAGGCCTGCTTCTTTTCACGGCCTCGGGGCCGCGGCGACGCGGCAGTCGCGGCAGCTGGGCCTCCCAGGGGCGGAGCCGCCAGGGAGGGGGCCGCCCGCCAGAGGGCACCAGCCGCAGGGCACCTCTCGTGGCCACCAACCGCACTGTGCCCAGGCCTGCGACGCCTGGGACCTCCTCCTCCTCCTCCTCCTCCTCCTCCTCCCCTCCTCCTCCTCCTCCCCCTCCTCCTCCCTCCTCCTCCTCCTCCTCCCCCTCCTCCTTCTCCTCCTCCTCCTCCTCCTCCTCCTCCTCCTCCTCCTCCGCCTCCTCCTCCTCCTCCTCCCCCTGACCTGCGACGCCTGGAACAGAGCAAGACAGCACCAGAGACGTCGGGCGCCTCGGACAGAGACCGAGGCGGAGGCCTCCCGTCGTCTTCGGCCTCTCGGGGCCCTCGGGCCTCGGGACCGTCAAACGACGACTCGGGATGAAGAGAGCCGGCCCCGGCGAAGCGGTCGGGACCCAGACCCCCGACGTCGTGATTTTTTCGCGACGTCGACCTCCAGAGGTCTGGACCCTTTCCCCGAGACTGGTTTTTCATCCTGAGTCGTTTTTTGACGGTCCCGAGGCCCGGGAAGGGCCCCCGGGTGCCGAACATAGCGAAAGACCTCCCGTCGCGATTTTTTCACGACGCGAGGAGGTCTGGGGAGGCCGGGGGCCCGTGCCTCGAAGCAGCTCGAGGCGCCGGCCGTCTGGGATGCCTCTGTCGCCGTGTTTTGCGTCCGGGGGGGCCGCCGCCCGGCCCGGGGACCGTCCTTCAGATTACGTCAGGCCTGTCCCCCTACAGGGGGAGTTTCGACGAAAAATTTTAAAAAAGTCAAGAATGGCCCAAAATACTCCAAAAATAGTCTGGGGACTATTTTTTGAATCGTTTTTTTAGCTTTGGGGGGGTATTCTTGGGGGTATGTTTTGTGTTGCGTCGACAATCCCCCTGCAGGGGGACACGCCCGACGGAACCTCAAAAGAGCGGGGCGGGGCGAGGCGCCGGCCCCCCAGGCAGCGGCCCAGAGCTCCCAGGGCTCCGCACCTCGAGCAACAAAACGAACAAGCACCTCAGCAGGTCGGGCGGGCCGCCCGGAGGCCCCAACGGACTATAGCCATCACCCACCCCAGACCCCCTCGAGTTAGGAAAGAATCGCGACGGGAGGTTTTTCATTGCTTTTAGCCTTTGGGGGCCCTTGCCGGCCCTCGGGACCGTCAAAAAACGACTCAGGACGAAAAACCGGTCCTGGGGAATGGGTCGAGACTTCGGGGGTCGACGTCATGAAAAAATCATGACGTCGGGGGTCTGACCCTTCGCCCCGCCCGCAGGGAACGTCACCGCCCACCAAACCACCCCAACCCAACTCGAAGGCTCAGATTGACACTTGATTTCCAGTAGGGGGGGGGGTCGGGAAACATCGGGAGAACACATGTGGAGCCCCTACCCCCCCCAACCCGAAATTCGGGTCTTCGGGGTTGGGTTGGGGTGGTCTGGTAGGCAGTCAGAACGCATCGGGCACCCACCACAGAGAACAGCCAGCCACGGCGAAGGCACCATGGAGCGAGCGCTGGCGCATGGGGCAGCAGCCACAGGGCACCGGAACAATTTCGGCCGACCGCGCATGGAGCCCCCAGCCTTACGGCCGACTGCACCGTTGCTCCTCCTCTTCCTTGCCCTCGTACACCACCTCTCGTGGGCGAGTCACAATCCCGTACCCGCGGCCTCGCGGGCCAGGCCCCTGGGCCGCGACCCCGCGGTCACGAGGCGTTCTGTCGCGGGCGCCCCGCGCGGATCTTATCTGCGCGACGGCGCATCCGCGGGATCGCGCCCCGAAATCCGGACCGCGGGGGCGCGGGCGATTGACATGTTCGCCGCTCGTGCACTCCCCCTCGCTGGCAGGTCCTTCATCGCCTCCAGGTGGTTCCGTTCGAGGACGGCCTGCCCGAGAGGCGCCCAGACCCCGCTGCTGCGCTTGCCCGCGGCCGCTCACAGCCGGCCTCGAAACCGCGCCCCTTCCACCGCCATAGTATTCGGCGATTGCAATGGGTGCGGTTACGCCGGGGTGCGTTTTGCGAGTTGCTTTGTGGCGGCCTGTCCGGGGCCTTTGTGAGAGACAATGCCATCACGGTCGTCGTTTCGAGCGACGCTGTCGTCCTCGATGTGTGCTCCACTGTACTAGAAGGAGCGACAGTGTCATGTGATTCGGTCGCATTGAGTGACAGTGTCATCCGTTTCCCGGGGGCGGGAGGGGCAGATATGACTGGAGACAAACCGCACCCTTCGCAAACCGCACCCATTGTAGTCGCCGGATGATGTCCACATCCACCGCTGCGGAATCGTGCCCTATAGGACGTCGAGGAGTGGTGGATGTGGACATCTGCCCGCCGGCATGGGGCGGGCAGGCATTCACAGCCGCCTCGCCCCGAGTCCCGGGGACACGACCCCGTGGCAGTGCACATGGAGGACAGACAGGGAGGAGGAGGAGGAGGGGGAGGGCGTTCGAGGAAGGGCGTTCAGAGGGAGGAGGGGAGGGGGGAGACAGGGAGGAGGAGGAGGGAGGAGGAGGAGGATGGAGGGCGTTCGAGAAGGGCGTTCAGAGGAGGAAGGGAGGGAGGACAGACAGGGAGGAGGAGGGGAGGAGGAGGCGGAGGAGGAGGAGGAGGAGGCGGAGGAGGAGTGAGGAGGGGAGGAGTTTCGAGGGAGGGCGTTCATAGGGAGGAGGGGAGGGAGGACAGACAGGGAAGGAGGAGGAGGCCGTTCGAGGAAGGGCGTTCAGAGGGAGGAGGGGAGGGAGGACAGACAGGGAGGAGAAGGGGGAGGGCGTTCGAGGAAGGGCGTTAAGAGGGAGGAGGGGAGGGGAGGACAGACAGGGAGGAGGAGGGGGAGGGCGTTCGAGGAAGGGCGTTCAGAGGGAGGAGGGGAGGGAGGACAGACAGGAAGAGGGGAGGCGGAGGAGGAGAGAGGAGGGAGGAGGAGGAGGAGGAGCTTTCGAGGAAGGGCGTTCAGAGGGAGGAGGGGAGTGAGGACAGACAGGGAGGAGGAGGAGGAGGAGGAGGAGGAGGAGGAGGAGGAGGCGGAGGAGGAGGAGGAGGAGGGGGAGGGCGTTCGAGAAAGGGCGTTCAGAGGGAGGAGGGGAGGGAGGACAGACAGGGAGGAGCAGGGGGATGGCGTCCGGACCTGTTCTGGTGGCGCACCTCGTTGCTCTCTCGCCGCCGCTTCTGCTCTGGATGCCTCGAGGCCCGGCCCAGCCTGGCACGGGCAGCAGCCGCAGCGGCGTCGCGCCGCTGATCCGCAGCGTGTCGACCTCGGTCCTGCTCGGCAGCTCCCGGTTCGAGAATTGTGCCGTCGCGCCTCGGGGCCATCGCGCCTCGGGGCCCGTGGGTGGTTCCTTCTCCTGCGGGGCGGCGCGGCGGCGCGCAGGTGGCCGCTCTTATTCGCGCAGCGCGAGCCCGGCGGAGTCGGGGTAAACACACCACCCTGCAGCGTGTGCAGCGTGCTGGCCCGCGCGCCGCCGAGGCCCGCGCGGGCCCCGCCCGCGCCATCGCGCCCCTGCGCCGCCGAGCCCGCGCAGCTCCGCGAGGGGGCCGGTCTGCGGCCCTGGTGGTGCCGGGGCGGCCCGCTGCCCAGACATCGGGCGTCTCGAAAAAATCGAGACGGAGGTTTTTCGTCGTCTTCGGCCTCTCGGGGCCCTCGCGGGGCCTCGGGACCGTCAACAAAAATGACTCGGGGCGAAAAACCGGCCCTGGGGAAGTGGTCGGGAGGTCCGGGGCCCGTGTCTTGAAAAAAGTCGAGACGTCGGAAGTCTGGGTGTGCAGTCCGTCCAGGCCCGCGGCTGCGCAGAGGAGCGGGGGGCTGCGCTGCCCCTGCGGGCGCGGCGGTTAGGAGGAGGATCTCGAGCCGCGGGTGGGGCCCGCGGGGCGCCGGCCCGGGAGGATCGGGGGTGGACAGAACCCCCAACAGTGGCACGTCGATTAGTGAGTTGTCCGTTTTCGGTTCTCGAGATGGCGCCGTGGCCGTGATTTTCCAGGCTTGCGCCCGCCAGGTTTGGGCCTCAGGTCGTTTTCACCAAACCACGTTTTGCTAAAGGGGGGTCTGTCCATCCCCGAGATGGGTCCAGGGAGGAACAAAAACCACCCGGTCCGGACAACTGGCGTGGACTCAACGGCCTCGGGCGTGTTTGCTGAGCAGCCCTGTCCTGTTTGATGCCTTCCTTGGGCGCGTTTGCTCGGCGGCTTCGCGTGTCGGGGTGGTTCTATTATGGGGGTGGATGTGTTCCGGCCTCTGTCATGAGGAGAAGAGGCAGCAGCAGGCAGAAGAGCGGAGGCGCCGGGCGGCCACCTCCAGAGGTCGCCAGGCAGTCTCGCGGGGGCCCAGGAAGAGCCTCCAGGTCCTCGATATCCTGGAGCTTTGAACGGCACAGCCTCGTTTCAGCACGCATGGCGTGGGGACGGAGCCAGACGGTTGCGATGCCAAAGGCACGTGTTGTCCGAAATCAATTGCGGCAGCTGTTGGGCAGACGACGTTTCCCAGAAGTGATCCGAGCCTTCCCCGAAGTCGCAGAGGCTGGAGGGCTTCGGAGAAGCCCCGCCGCCTTCTGAGAGCGCCTTCCCCTTCGTGCTTCCCCCCCCCCCCAGAGGAGGAGGAGGAGGAGGAGGAGGAGGAGGGAGGAGGGAGGAGGAGGAGGAGGAGAGGAGAGGAGGAGGAGAAGGAGGAGGAGGAGGGAGAGGAGGGAGGAGGAGGAGGAGGAGGAGGCCCTCGCTCGCCGCCGACACAACAGCGGAGGGGGGCGGCGCGCGGGCCCCCTCGCGCGCTCCGACGCAGAACGCCAGCCAGAACTGCAGTGACGCCTCGGGTGCGGGCACGGAGGCCTCCTCCGCTTCCCCCTCCTCCTCCTCCTCCTCCTCCTCCTCCCCTCCTCTCCTCCTCCTCCTCCTCCTCGATCCTCGATCCTCCTCCTCCTTCCTCCTCCTCCTCCTCGATCCTCGATCCTCCTCCTCTCCTTCTTCCTCCTCTCCTCCTCTTCCTCCTCCTCCTCCTCCTCATCCGCTTCCCCCTCCTCCTCCTTCTCGATCCTCGATCCTCGATCCTCCTCCTTCTCCTCTTCCTCCTCCTCCTCCTCCTCCTCCTCCTCCTCCCTCCTCCTCCTCCTCCTCCCCCTCCTCCTCCTCCTCCTCCTGCTCCTGCTCTGCTCCTTCTCCCCCTCCTCCTACTGGGAGGCCCGCAGACTGCATCCCTATCCACGGCCTCGCGGTCTGGGCCCTTCGGCCGCGCCTCCCAGGGGGATGCATGGCAGCCCTGCGCGCAGCGCTCCGCCCAGAGCGCACACGCCCACGCACACGCCCACGGGAGCACGGGGCGAGTGTAGCGATGACGGGGCGAGTGTAGCACGGAGGTTATTCGTAGGTTTCGGCCTCTCGGGGCCCTCGCCGGGCCTCGGGACCGTCAAACAACGGCTCGGGATGAAAAGCCCGTCCCGGGGAAGTGGTCGGGAGGTCTGGGGCCCGCGCCTCGAAAAAATGGAGACGTCGGATGTCTGGGATCGCGCGTCCGCAGGATCGCGCCGCGGTGCCCAGACGGGCGGGGCACGGACCTGGCAAGGCTCGTCGCTCGTGAAGTCCTCGCCCTCGCCATGCAGCGCACAGATCCGGGGGGAGCCAGGACAGCTACCGATGCCGACCGCTATTCCCCGGACCTCTCCCGGGGTGCCTGGTGTGGCCAGAACCCAGATCCGACGTCTCGATTTTTTCGAGACACGGGCCCCAGACCTCCCGGCCGCTTCCCCAGGACCGGTTTTTCGCCCCGAGTCGTTTTTTGACGGTCCCGAGGCCGCGCCGCGAGGGCCCCGGGAGGCTGACAACGACGAAAAATGTCCGTCTCGATTTTTTCGAGGCGCCCGATGTCTGGGAATGTCAAGGCGACTCCAGCGGTGGCGGCGAGGGCCTCCCATGAGGCCCCCCAAAGGGAGCACGGGGCGAGTGTAGCGATGACGGGCACCTCTCCTCCTCCTCGCGAGATCCCGGGGCAGACGGGTCCAGGGGCCCCTGGGGCCTTCCCTGGGAGAAGTCCCTCGGGGCCCGCTGACGCTGGTTGGCCCGACAATGGGCCCAGCGACACGGGGGGTGGTGCAATCAATGTGGTGCAATCCCAGACATCGGGCGTCTCGAGAAAATCGTGACGGAGGTTTTTCGTCGTTTTCGGCCTCTGGGAGCCCTCGCCGGGACTCGGGACCGTCAAACAACGGCTCGGGATGAAAAGCCGGTCCCATGAAGTGGTCGGGAGGTCGGGGGCCCGCGCCTCGAAAAAATGGAGACGTCGGATGTCTGGGATAGATTTATGGGATTGCGATAGATTTGGGGCGTGCAGAGTTCCTTCCCGTGCACTTAGAAGTACTGCTGGGCTTTCGCGTGCACCACGTCACAGTTGCAGCCCAGTGCGGTGCAAGCCTCTGGCGCAGCACACACTCGCAACGCGGTTGCCGCAGACCTTGCTGCACCAGCCCCCTCTCAGCTGGGCCCCCCTTCTGGGTCCACCAGAGCTGTCCTTCGGGACCCACCATCTCTCCCTCGTGCCCGCCCCCCTCGCTGGCCTCGCCCCGCCCACCTCCCTCGTGCGCGCCGCCCTCTTGCCAGGGCCCTCCCCCGCACCCGCGGCGGCGAGGCACCGGCCGACGCGGCTGCCCCTCGACGAGGCGCCCCATACCCAGACATCCGACGTCTTGATTTTTTCGAGACGTGGGTCCCCGACCTCCCGATCACTTCCCCGGGACCAGTTTTTCATCCCGCGTCGTTGTTTGACGGTCCCGAGGCCCGGCGAGGGCCCCGGGAGGCCGAAAATAACGAAAAATCTCCGTCTCGATTTTTTCGAGACGACCGATGTCTGGGTCGTGCGCGCCGCCCTTTTGCCAGAGCCCTCCCCCGCACCCGCGGCGGCGAGGTACCGGCCGACGCGGCTGTCCCTCGACGAGGCGCCCCACATTGCGCGGCCTGCCCGCTCGGCGGCCGCTGCTCGCCTGCCGCCCCGCCCGGCGGGAGTCAGGAGGGAAAAAAAAACACAGACACAATTAATCGTCGATTCCCCAGAAAATATGGGAAAATATGGGAAGTGGGGGGGAAGACGAAAACCCAGAAAATATGGGAAAATATGGGGAATCTTTTTATTTGTGTGTATTTATTTGTGTGTCCTGGGGCCCCTAGGCAGGGGAGCATGCTCGGAGGAGGAGGGGCAGTGGCGGAGGTGGAGGTGCGGCGCGGAGGGAGGACGAGAGGAGGGAGGGAGGGAGGGAGGGAGGGAGGGAGGGATAGGGAGGGAGGGAGGGAGGGAGGGAGGGAGGGAGGGAGGGAGGAGGAGGAGGAGGAGGAGGAGGAGGAGGAGGAGGAGGTCGGAGTGGACGAACGCTGCGGGCCTCGATGCTCAGAGCCTGGGCACCGTGATAAAGATGGGGGTGGTGGAGTGCAGCGAGGATGAGGACGAGGGGTGGGGGGGGACTGGGATGCAACTCCTTGGCACGTTCAATTCTGTATCGGCATTGGTATTTCAGCGGAAGACAACGACGACGACGACGACGACGACGACGACGACGACGACGACGACGACGACGACGGCGGCGAAGACGACGACGACGACGACGACGACGACGACGACGACGACGACGGCGGCGGCGACGACGACGACAGCGACGACGACAGCGACGACGACGACGACAGCGACGACGACGACGTCGACAGCGACGACGACGACGACGACGACGACGACGACAACGACGACGACGACGACGACGACGACGACGACGACGACGACGACGACAGCGACGACGACGACGACGACGACGACGACGACGACGATGTTGACGACGACGGTGGCGGCGGCGGCAGGCGGCGGCGGCAGATGGCGGCGGCGGCGGATGCAGCCTGGCGGCTTGCCCACAGGCCGCCCTGCTGCAGGACTACGTCCGGCACGCCCCGCCGCCCTTCCGCCCGCTCGCCCGGGGGTGCTCGGGTCTCTGCGGAGATCGTCTCGGCGCGTGGACGGCGTCGGGCGAACGTCTGCTGCGCGTGAGAGTAGCTGCAAGGGTCGAGGTTCGCGGTGTTGAACGTTTTCGCAGGTTCCCGATGGTTCTCCAGCGTCGAGGTACCCTCCAGCAGCTGCGCCTCGCTGAGAGCGTTCCCGGGGTGCCCGGAATGCCAACTCGCAGCACTCACTGCCTGGGTCCTGGGTCCGTCCTGTCGATGGCAGATCGGCTGCACGACGTAGCTTGCCTTGCACCTGTCCGGCACCGCCGCCCCGGCCAGAAGCCAGGGGGAAGGGGGGGTGCAACGCCGAGCGCGGGCAAGGACGCCTGACGATTCGGGGGGACAACTACCCCGGAGGGGGAGAGAGGGGGGGAGGAGGAGGGGAGAGGAACGGCCGCCAAAGACTCCCGAGCGAGCTCCGGTGCGGGCACGCGGGGCTCCCGCCAGCACCGGCCGGCGGCGCAGGCGATGCGCGCTGCCTGGGCTTCCACCGGGCGGCCCCCCCGAAGACGCGCGCAGGCAGCACAGGCCGCCGCTGCTCTCAGAGGGTCGCTCCGGCGCGCCGGCGGGCGCGTCCGCGGCCCCGGGCCGAGCAGCGGAGTGGGGGCCATTCCACCATCATCGTGGACGGGGAGGCGGCGGGGGTGTGGGGAGCGCGTGATCGGTCGCTGCCCGCTGGTCGGCGCCATCCCGACGATCAAGGAATGCATCCGCGATCTCCATCGCCCATGGAACCATGTGCCTGAGCATCCCCGCGCCGCACCTCATCTTAGCCGTCTTCGCTTTCTTCAACGGAGAGGCGCCAGGCGCGAGGGCGGGGGGGGGGAGCGCGGGATCGGTCGCTGTGGAGGGGGGGGGGGGACAACGGAGAGGCGAGCGCAGGCGTGTCTCGAGGGGGCGTGGAGTAGCGACGGGCCCCGCTTCCACGGGAAATCGCGGACTTCCGCCGCCGAGCGAGGCGGTACCGGCCGCAGTGTGGGGAGGGCACCTCGCCCGATCCATGAACTTGGCGACCGCGCGCCAAATCCATATGGATCGCTAATCCAGGTTTGCGCGCCTCTGGCAAGGGAGAAGCGCGAGGCGCGAGGGCGAGGGGGGGAGCGGCGGTGTCCTTTCAGAGCCTCCTCTGGGGCGCGCCCCTGCGGGGATCGCAGGCGTTGCAGTAGGTTCTCAGGTGGGGGGCGCTTTGTATCAGGACACGGAGGGCACAGGGGAGCGCGTGGTCGGTCGCTGGGGAGGGGTAGGGGAGGGCCGATGGCGTAGGGGGAGATCGAGGGGGGGAAGGACACGCTAGGTCTAAGTTGGGCCTGTCAATTTACAGGAGGAATATTCAAAAATAGTAGAAAAATAGCCTGGGACGATGTTTCACAATGTTTGACTGTTTTGGAGGTATTGTTTGACAACTTCTCATTTTTCGCCCAAAATCCGCCTGTAGGGGGACATGCCCGACCTGACGCTGGGCGCGCTTGCGCTTCATCTGGTATCCTATCCCTCCCTCCCAGCCCTTCCCATGGCGTTGAGTTTTCAGTGTCCGCGGGCGCGTGTCATAGCTGACCTGCGACTCACACAGAAAGGTCACTTCGTGTTACGCGCAATCGGAGATAGGGGAGCTTCGCGCACAGGAGGAAGAGGAGGATGAAGAGGAGGAGGAGGAAGAGGAGGAGGAGGAGGAGGAGGAGGAGGTGGCGGGGGAGCAGGAGGATGAGCGGGAGGAAAAGGCTGAGAACGAACAGGAAACGGAAGGATCTGGATGGAAAGAAGGACCAGGGGAAGGCGGAGGAGGGGAAATGAGGGGGAAGACAGCGATGAAGAACGGCTCGGATTCAGAACAGTGGCCCGCGCTGGGGCGAGACGGGCGGCATCAGCAGCAGCAGCAGCAGCAGCAGCAGCAGCAGCAGCAGGAATTGGATTGGAAGGAGCGAGAGATTCAGGCGCACCAGGGGAAGGTTGAGGAGGGGAAATGAGGGGGGGGGGGGGGCAGCACAGTGAAGCAAGACTCGGATTCAGAAAAGTAGCCCGCGCTGGGGCGAGAGCGCCAGTCTGAACCATGGGAGCAAGGCGCCGATGCGAAAAGGAGGCCCACGCTGCAGCGGGAGCACCATTTTGAAGCACGGGAAACACTTGGGGTGGGCAAACAAGCAGCAGAACATCAATATTTGAAATCCTGTGTGGAACAAAAAACACAGCTCGCTGCTGAGGGGGAGGGAGATCTGCTGGACAACTTCAGGGGAGGAGGGGGAGTAGTATTTAGATTGCTTGGTTGTAAAAAAGGCGAAGGCAAGGACGCGAGGGGGGGGGAGGGGAGCAGGCATGGGTCGCGGGGAGAGGGGGCTGCCTGCTGCATGGGCGTCGCACCACTCCTGATCGCTGGAGGACGCCGGGTGGGAGGGTTGAGAGAGAGAGGGCTTCCGCCCTCTCCCAAGAAACTGAGTCCTGGCGGTCAGCCGTCAAGCTTGGCTACCGCCCGGAACTCTCGGAGCTCCCTCCTCCTTCCATCCCCCCCTCCCCTTCTCGGGTGTTGCCAGAAGTGCCCCTGCCCCAAGGTGCCCCCAGTTTTTCGCTCCATGTTGGAGCCCCTGGGGCCCTCTGAGCCTCGTGAGGGGTGCCCTGGAGGCCGTGTGGGCCACCCCGAGAAATCTGGGGGTAGCTTGGGCCAGGGGTACTTCTAGCAGCACCCGACCTTCTTGCGGCAGCCACCGCTTGCTGGGGGATTTTCCACACTGGCCTCCCCAGGCGAGGCCGCCCACGTGCAGCCCTGTCCTGGTTGCCAGAGGCGCGTGGCATCCTTCCACGCCGCCTTTCGCGCAAGGACGGCATACCAGTGTTGTAGCGCCGGGCCGGGTCCACGCCCCCCCGCAGACCCCCCCCCGTCCCCCTCTTCCCCCTCCTGCCCCTCCTCCTCCCACCCCTCGTGCTCCTGCTCATGCTCTTCCTCCTCCTCCTCCTCCTCTTCCTCCTCCTCCTCCTCCTCCTCCTCCTCCTCCTCCTCCTCCGTCTTCTCCTCCTCCTTCTGCTCCTCCGCTTCCTCGGCTCGTCTCGGCCCATCAGGCATCCTATTCGTAGCCACTAGAGGTGCAGAGAGAGAGAGAGAGATGGGACTGAATGTAAAAGGCGGCGCGGTGCGACCTATGCACACGCATGCACGCGCACGAGGGCAAGGGGGGGAGGGGGCCTGCAGCCCGAGGGCCGGGACGGCATCAGCCGACCGTGCTGTTGTGGGGCGCGCCAGTCGTGCCCCCGTTGGAAGCCAGAACGGGAATCCAGCGGTGCAAAGACAAGGTCTCGGCCATTCGTGGATGCCCCCCCCCACTCCGTGAGAGAGCCCGCAGCAGCATGGAGTACTGCCGCGATGGAGCAAGCGAGGGCGGAGGCGAGACGGCGATTGAGTTCGGACGGATACTCCTGAGCACTGGCAGCATGCCGTGTCCCCCGGAACGACAGCGCCCATCAGGACACGATGCAAGTGCCCGAAAGCCCAAAAAGCCCTCCAGGGCCTGGCGTCGACAAGTCCACGCAACGTCGGGCACAACGCCCCCAGGAGCCTGCCTGGTAGGCGGACCGAGACCCCGGGGAGTTTCGACAGCGGCGGCGCCGCCGCCTTCTCCGCCTCCTCCTCCGCCTCCTCCCCTCCTCGTCCTCCTCCTTCTCCTCCTCCTCCTCGGCCTCGTCCTTCTCGGCAACTACCAGCTCCTCCTCCGCCACCCTCTCCGCCTCCTCCTCCTCCTCCTTCTCCTCCTCCTCCTCATCATCATCATCATCATCATCCTCCTCCTCCTCCTCCTCCCCCTATCCTTGTCATACTACTCCTCCCCCTCCTCCTTCTCTTCTCCTCCTTTCCTCGTCCTCGTCCTCCTCCTCATACCCTCCTTCCTCTCCTCCTCCTCCTCGTAGTCCCATCCTACCCCTCGCCCCCTCTTCCCCTCCTCCGCCTCTCCACTCTCCTCCTCCTCCTCCTCCTCCTCCTCCTCCTCCTCCCATGTCCTTCCTCCGCCGAGCGGCTCAAGCTGGGGCCGCCCCCGCGCCGGAGGCGCGTACGCTCCCCTTGCCCGCGGCGCGGCGCGGAGCCGCGCCCGCGCGTGGCACGCGGCGCGTCGGGGCGGGGGTGGGGGGCGCCTCCTTGCCAGTGCCCCCCTCGACCAGGACATTGCTAAGGAAGGGGATGGAAAGGGAGGAGGAGGAGGAGGAGGAGGAGGAGGAGGAGGGGAGGAGCAGGAGCAGGAGGAGGAGTAGGGTGGAGGGAGGAGGAGGAGGCTGAGGGAGATGAGGAGGAGGAGGGGGAGGAGCAGGAGGAGGCGGCGGGAGGAGGAGGGAACGGGAGGAGGAAGAGGGGAGGAGGAGGAGGAGGAGGAGGAGGAGGAGTGAGGAGGAGGAGGAGGAGGAGGGAGGCGCTAGTTGGGAGCAGAGCAGGAGAGGAGGAGGAGCAGGAGCAGGAGTCAGGCAGGAGCAGGAGGAGGAGCAGGAGCAGGAGTCAGAGCAGGGCAGGAGGGAGGAGGCAGGAGCAGGAACATGAGGGGGGCAGGAGCAGGAACAGGAGGAGGAGGAGGAGGAGAAGGAGGAGAAGGAGGAGGAGGAGGAGGAGAAGGAGATCAGGAAAAGGAGGAGGAGGAGGTGGAGAAGAGGAGGGAGGAGGAGGAGGAGGAGGAGGTGGAGGAGGAGGAGGAGGAGGAGGAGGTGCGTAGAAGGAGGAGGAGGAGGAGGAGGAGGAGGAAGAGGGGAATGGGGGGAGGAGGGATGAGGGCTGAGGGAGGAGAGAAACTTCGGGTTGCGCACAGATGGTCCTCCTAGGCAGCCACCTCTGGCCTCAACAGGCGCCGCGGGTAGCGTGCAACGGTCTCAACACGGCCCATCGTCGGTTCCTTGGCGGTCCCTCGGAGGCCCTTTGGCGGCCCCTGCACTTGTCGCGATCGCCGTCGTCGTTTCTGTCCCTTTTCCCCCCCGCCCGCG